TGTGTTTAATGTTTAGAGTATTTATATCACATGTGACATTCTCTCTTGAAAGACTTTGACTGCAAGTACAGGAATCTTGTGACTTATCTAACCTGAAACCAATAGGACACTCACTAACAGTGAAATAAGAGAAAATATTGGTGCCAAAACTGGTGCCAAAATTGAACACAGCTAAGTATATTTTATATTTTTGATGACTTGTAGGAATCAGTTTAGGTGTGTATTCAATCAATGAACAAATATTGGGAATATGTGTTTGATTGAGCCAGTATGCGTAATTATGCATTGCTACTGTACCGTCTGTGAGAGTTTGTGATTCAAAGTAATTAAAACCAAACAAAGCCACATTGAACTTCAATGCTTGCCCTGGATAAATGTGTTGATCACTTACATTATATAGACAGTTGTTAAAACTAGTTGTAGTATGAGGATCACAAAAACGTATATACCACGGAATGCTTGTTGAACTAATGTTTCGGTTTGTCAAATTGAACTGATTACTGTGTGTCATACGATATACCCCGTACAAATCACCACCAACCAGTCCAGCACTATTATTTATTAATGTAAGAGGTATATTTGGTGTCATAAATTTTATGTCAGTATCTGATGACTCTTCAAGATAGATCCCTCCTCCTTTATAAGAAGCATGATTATCAATAAACTCCAAGTTAGCTGATGATGATAATATCAATCCTGATGAGTCATTTATTGCTAATCCTCCTCCAACTACTCCAGTATTGTTCCTGAATATTAAGTTATTGTTAATTGTCACTAATGATCTTTCAAGTGTCAATCCTGTATAGGTACTGTTAGCAACAGTAACATTACTGAGACTAATAGGAGCATTATTGTTCATTATCTTATTTCCTCCATTTCCAATAAGTTGAGTATCTATTATATCAATTTGAGTTAGTCTCAAAAATGTTCCATCAATGAATAATCCTTCATTTATATTGTCATATATCAAACATGATTTAATAATAATGTGATGGTTCACTGCTTTTAGTAAATACTTGTTACCCAAGATCTTCAATCCTTGCTTATTATTATAAAATTGACTGTCCTCAAGTACATAAGTAGAAGTTAACTGAGTACCAGGATATGTGCAGTCATAACTTGATTCTGTATTTTGTAAAAATTTAATATAAAACCCAGAACTATCAGTAACACCATGAAATGATGAGCTGATAATAAAAAAATAAAAAAGACCACCCACTAAAATAAAGTGATGGTTAGTGCTGCTTTGAACATGATCAAAGATGACTGATACATTGTATGTGGTACCATGATTCATGTGTAGTACTATTGCACTGCCAGTAGTAAAGGTAAGATTAGTCAGTGTCAATGAGTAATGGAGTAATTCATCACTACATACTGGAAGAGGTTGATACCAAATACCCACAGTAAAATCAGTAAAAAAAACTGATGATGAAATCTTAAGATCAAAAGCATTAACTGTATTCAAAGATGGCAAATTAGACCTTACAGTAAAGACAGAGTTAGTTACTGTAATATTGTTGGATGAATTAATCTCCACTGTACAATCACTAAAGGATAGGCTAGAAACAGTGACATGATCACTGTAATGTAGTGAAATGATAACTCCATTGATATTATAAACTTCCTCATTGCCGTGGATACTAGGAGACTGATCCAGTCCATGTAGAGTAACATTCTTTACTGCAGTCATGTAAACATTATTTTTGATGGTAGTGGTTCCAATGAAGTAGAAGATGGTGTTATTGTATTGAGACATATTCCCAGCATACACTGATAAAGGATTACAAGGTGACTGAGTAACTGAACTGCAATCATCAGACACATAATACTGACCAGAGGAGACACTGCAGGAGCTACTGAAGAATAAGAGAACAACCACTAACAGGAGAGACATAGCTACTGTCTGGACTGACTTCTCAGTGACTGTGAGGGGAGATGATATTTATAGGCTAAGCTATGCATGGGTGCTTGTTACTAGAGCAACTGACCTTTTATGGTCAGTCTTGCGTGTGCATTGATAAAATAATTATACATACCAGTAAGAGTGGATTATTATTTATACCAGATCAATAGTAATACACAGTACTATTAATTGGTAATATCTGTAGCTATAAAATGAGGTGGAGGCACCTATGACATATATAGTTTACCAACAAAGAGTTATTATATATATATCACTTGAATGGTTATACAGATATACCAATCATAAACAATGTCAACCTCCCAGCAATTTATTTATAATAGTGGAAAAAATTGAAATGATTTGTCAATTAAAATTGTCAATTATTATTTTACAGAATAAAATAGGTTATCCCTAATATGTAATGAGAGACCACCTCATGTTTAACTTTTAAATTGACCTTAAGTTCTATTGTACATTACATTATCCCCTGATGATAGACGATCTCTCTTGTAAGGACAACATTTCCAGGAACCAGTGGACAGTCTCTCAGTAGGAGGACTACTCCATACAAAGCACTGATAAAGTTTGCATCTCAACTGAGTAATCTACTGCATGTATGCAATCCATTGTCAGTATTTCTTATGTTGGATCTCTTCTTAAATTCTAATTACAAACCTCAAGTATTATTAGTAATGTATGTCCATGTAACCAGATACCCAGCAAAAAAGATATTTTTCTGGTGGATCCCTTTTACTACAAGTATGTCGGAGATTTGTACTTGACATGTATGAATCTGATTTCCAGGAATATACATGTATACTATGTCCCAACTGAGAATGGACCGGAAGTGGAAGCAGCTGCATTGGAATTTGAAAAATGTAGCTACGTCACTAATGACGCATTATAATGAGATTCATAGAGACATGGCCGATATTTCGGCTGTGTTGTTTCACTCTTAAAACAGTCTTGTTCTTCCTGATAAGCAGTACAATAGCTGCTGGAGTCAACTAGTCTTCATAAAGGCCATCATTATCAGAAGATCTTGCTCTATTAGCATTTTAAAAGAAGAATTATCAGTTTGGGCACTCGACCACATGTGCTTATGTAAACTATGACATCATAGAAGGTCATTGCGGTTAGCTTTGGTATGCCATTGGGTTTATAGGGAGAACCCGGTTCTCAGGGTTCCCAAGGGCTGAGAGACCCAAGACCTGAGATCCTGAAGCGGCATTGGGCAACTAAGAACCTGTGAAAGTGTCATTCTTATCTCACATTCCTATAAAAAGTTATTCCAGTTTTTCTTGGTCCAAACTCAGTTGGGACATAGTATACATGTACTTGAACATGTACATTTGTTCAAATACAACATTTACATGTGTTTGAACATGTAATTTTTTACAATGTGCTACATGTTCAAACTACTTGTCAATAATAGCAATACATATACAGTATATGTGCGATTGATTTAAAAATTGACAGATAAATAGAGCCTACATATGTATAGTATACAGTACTATATGCACATGTAGTTTAATAAACCCTCCCATCTGTGAGAGCTTGCTCATGAGAGCGGAAGGAATGACAAGTTAATTGAGTACAAATTTACATCCCGTATCCAATGCTGCATACTCTTGTGAGATCAAGCATAAGCCGGGAAAACAACTGGCTAATGCAGATGCTCTTAGCAGACTTCCTTTATCTGATCAACCGAAGTCAGTTTCTATGCCTCACGATGTAGTCCTGCTACTAAATCACAATTCAGACACCATTGTCCATGCCTCTACAATCAAAGAGTGGACAGCTAGTGACCCAGTTCTTTCCTGTGTGTGCAAACTAGTACAAACTGGCTGAATATCTGATGAAACCTCTCTAGCCCTGCAGCCGTTTTTCCAGTGTTATGCTGAATTAAGTGTTATTGATGGCTGTTTACTCTGAGGGTCTCAAGTAGTTATACCTCCTCAGGGTCGTCCCTCTATACTATCCCAACTTCATGATACACACCCAGGCATCAGTCCAATGAAGAATCTTGCTTGAGCTTATGTGTGGTGGCCAGGCTTAGACAAAGACACTGAAGACAAAGTGAAACAATGTGTTACTTGCCAGATTTCTTGTCCTACTCCACCACAAGCTCCAGTTCATCCCTGGAAATGTCCATCCTCTCCATGGCTAGGATCCATATAGATCATGCTGGTCCTTTTATGGGGAAAACATTTCTCATCATTGTTGACGCACATTCCAGATGGCTAGAAGTAGAGATTGTCAGTTCTACATCAGCTGGAGCCACTATTCAGGTTCTAAGGAAGCTGTTTGCTACGCATGGATTGCCTGAACAAGTAGTCTCAGACAATGGAACAGCTTTTACTAGTCATCAGTTTAAAGAATTTATGAGTAAGAATGGTATCTGTCACTCCCTAACTTCCCCATATCATCCTCGTTCAAATGGTCTGGCAGAACGAGCTGTTCAGATAACTTTGATATTACAAAGTTATCTTTGATGATACATAATCCACCACTGGCCATTACGCAGATCAACTAGACCAAGGACTCAAGTGGAATTGGACCCTATGTACGTTGAATTTAAAGGGGAAGGGGTGTGATAATGGTGCTTTGACATTTATACATACATGTACATGTACATGTAACTACAATATTCTGTTATTATTATTATTACTGTGTATTCATTGTTGTTGTACATATGTTATATATTGATCATTATGTATGTATTATTATTGTTACTATTATTATCATCATTGTTATTATTATTCTTATTGTTACTTGTGTTATCTTTAGTGTGGCCATTATTATTTCTATTTATAGGCAGACTGTCAATATGACATCATATGATGTATTATGATTTTTAGTATATAAGTGCATACTTTTACTGTATTTGTGGTTCATTCGTTCGTTCATTCATTTCTTCTTCCTTTTACTTCATTATTTCCATTCTCATATAAGGTCCTCTTTGAACCTAGCAAGTTTGCCATTCTCACATTACTGAGATACGCGTGCTGTTTTTCATTAACCCATTTTTGTACTACTTCAACTACTGGTTGCTATACAATTCAATTCCCGGTTCCCAATATTACAGTAGCTACTGGAACAAATCTGAAAATACACATTTAAGTGCATGTACATGTACATTCCTAGAAATGAGATTTGTACAAGTACAAGTTAATCTGGGGATTCTAAGAAAAAATTCCGAGTAGTAGCAATGGTAGTACATATAGTACTAGATCTATCTGTAGTGCGCTAACTAGGAATATGTACATCCACAGAGGCTGATTTGTTCAAATACAAGTTTGAATCAGTTCTAAGAATGTACGTAACATGTATTACTGGATATCAAGTTTGTACTTGAACAAATCAAGTACAACTGTACATATTCTTAGAAATTGTACAAGTAAAAATATCAAAATTCTAAGAAAAAAATCCCACGTAAATATCCATCTGCTTACACATAAATGTCATAACAATAACACAATCAATGTCTCACAGAAACTTTGAGCTGTTGTTTAATGAATGATTATTTCAACATTATTATTCATTCTAATTATTAGTATAATTTATCATTATTATTTATTTTAATATTAGTGATATCATTTTTCTTATACATCCTCTCCAGTCTCCCTGCGTCTCTGTCCTGTTTCTCTCCTCCAATCAGTACTACCACTTCTCCCTCTCTACCCATCCTACCCACTCTACCCGCCAGGTGTAAGTACTCAATACCATCACGAGGTACTTCAGTCAAGTACAGAGTACCTACAAAACTAAAATCAAGTCCACGTACAGTTTCCTCGGTACCAATGACCATTTCAATATCCCCGTTTTTAAATTTTCTCAAGAATGACTTGTATTTATTGATATCCATCACTTCTTTATAAAGAGCT